GCCTTATATCAGTTATTTTTCAATCTCCTTCATCACTCAGGACTTACTAGGAAGCACTTTTAATAAAATACTAATAGTTTTAATAGAAGTTTGAAAGAATCAAGAGCAAGCGATGTCGTTTAAAGGCAACGTGGATGATATTTTTAATGAATAAATCCTCAGCCTCCCGTCCGTTCTTTCCCTTAGATGAGACATTTAAAATAAATTAATGAAGTAAGTACACTTATAAACGCTGTTAATTATAGAAGAGCCAAAATTGTTCGCATGCCTAGGTCACAGATTGAGGTCGGATGGAGGGAATAAGGAAATAGCCAAGTAATGAACGAACTAGGGATGAATGTGGTGTGCCAGAGTGTAGCTCCATTTAAATCCTGGAAATATTGATTCGTCCGAGGTTTTTTTTCAAGAACGTAACCAGCCTCTCAACAATAGAACATTTTTGCGTTGAATTCTCATAATCCCGTCCGTTTGTAGATGATTTCATGTTCCCTAGCTTCAGAGCCTGTCTGAAAATATGTTGGAGTGTATGATTGATCATTTTACATCTTTTACAGCCATTAGCTGGTAAATGAGATATTTTATTAATCACTTAATCATGAAGTCTGATGATTATGTCCAATAGGGTATTTAGACATTCATTTTCTGTAGCATTCAATCAGAAGTTAACTTAGGCCTTCAAAGACACCTTTCTCACGCGTTTCAACCTGCTTTCTCATGGATTATGAGGCTAAGTAACAACCCAAAAGCCAGATAGATAAGCTAAAGCCTTTTGTCTTTGGTAAAAGTAGCCGAATTCCAGTAACAATGAAGTCCAATGAGGCGTTTTGAGTTTAAATTCATGTCTAAGTTCACCTGTTTCACATCCTCTTTGGTATTGGGGTTACACTTAATGGTGAGTTCATTTCACACGTTTCAAAATTCAAGCATCATTGTCCTTCTCTTGAATTACTGAACAAATTCTTGTCCATGACTTTCAGTGCCCAATGGGGAGTGGCTTAAGTGGAATTGAAGATTGGTTCATTTCGATACAATTTGTCCCTTAACCGTGAAATAGGCTTATGTGACTTTAAGGCAACCAATAATTGGTAGTAAATAACAGATTACATTACTCAATTTTTGCCTATTTTAACTAATAAATTTATTTCAAATTATTCAACGAAGCACTAAGATCTGGTTGTCAAGAATTTAAATTCCCAGAGAAACCCTGGACAAAATTGTGGAGTTTTGAGCATATGAATATTAGTGCGTACGACAGCAAACGAAATCCATTAAATTGAGGCGAACAACCAGCTTCGAAATGCTCAAATATTGAAGACTCTTCTGATATGCAGACTTTATTCTCGAATTCCCCTCTTCTACAACCCACTCGTTTACTTACCTAGCCTGTAGGCAATAGTAGTAGCAATAATACCTTAACAGGTTTGGTGTCTAAAATTGATTGGTTACAGAATTGGAAAAACGAGAACTTGTAAGTGACTTTGCAAATAAGCCATTATACGCCCTGTTCTGTGCTATGAATTCACAGGGGATTTAGAAACAACGGTATAGAATTTCAACTTCTTCTTCCTCCGCCCACATTTGAATGCCAATTTAAGTGTTATTATATTACTAAAAAGATGAGAAATTGGTGAATAATAAGACTGTCTCTGCAAACCGAATTATAGTTTTACCTACAATGAAAAGAGTATGGCTTGTCCAGAAATGAGCCAAATCCTATGGGATGCTTTCTTACTGCAAGAATTGGCAAACAGTATTCGCAAGAAAAATTGGAAATACCTTGTGTCTACCCCAGTTTTGGACAAGGTAAGTTCTTTTAATTATATTTGACCTAATGGAGACCGTGTAAGTGCTCTCGAGCCAAAATACTGGAAAAATGTTTTATTAAATAGGAGAGGTATACGATATCGTATATCACCTTGATGCAATAGTGACATTCATTCATTCATTCTAATACACAGAATAGATGAACGTCAGACTAATCGAGCGCTCAGATCAAATCTCTGGTAAAAATTTTAACTTTCCACGCGGATTTACACCCCACTTTATTATTAGATGATATTGCAAAGAAAGAAGACTCGGGTGTCAACCCTAATGACATACCCGATCCCTGAATGTCATCAACTAGTCAAAAACATGAATTGCGGCATGCATTAAATTAATCAGAATCCAAATGGTGTAATCATGATGACTGAAAGTTTTAGCATTAGGTCATGATCCATAGCACTTTAAGACAAAGCGAAATGAAGCGAGATGCTTTTAATACTCTGGGTATCATGTCAGAAAATTTCCTTTTTATCCAACCCATCTACCTCAAGTGAACTCTTTTGTTGACCTTCGGGTTCACTAAATTTCCAGTGATTAAAAATGGCGAATTTTTTGACTCTCTGATGTGAAAAAAAAACAATTCAAACAAAAAAACATACCCAGCTTCAAATATTCACAGATGTTGGCTTGAAATAGGAGGAATGGTATCACTGGGAATTGAATTCAGGAAGTCCATTTATGAGCCAGACGAGAATCAGTGTGATTAGACACCCTGCTCAAAGGTTATGAAGCAATGAACTCTAAATTTACAGACCACAACACCAATCTCTAACAAGCATACGTCCACTTTCTCTGACCCAGTTGGTAGAAAATTTAAGTTATTTAGAAATATTTAAGTAAATGATTTACGTTTGCTCACAACCTATTGAACTTATAAGGCTGCGATATTGCCTATCTTAAAAAATTAAAACTCTTCATTGCACAAAGGTCACTTAATGATATCTCAATGGAATATCCAATTAGTAAAAAAAACATGAAATACCCCTATCATTGGTAATGCACCTTCCTGTTTTAATAGAGCTCATTCAAAGTGTCTAAATGGTAAGATATAAGATATAGCGTGGAGAGATCCACCATCCTAATCACAATGCCTCAACAGTTTTATCTACAGTCACAATTCCCACAAAATCCGTTACCAGTTGGGAGTAAAATGAGAAATCTCTCTTCTAAGCACAAAATCATTTAATAATGTCCTGATTAAGCATTGATTAAAGAAACAAAAACTGGCAAATTTATTGTCTAGATCGGGTTCTTCTGCTTCTTCCACGTCTCTCCCCTAATGATCGGCGTTTCTTGGGGGCTTGGGTAATAATTTCAGGTTCCGGTGTCGTTGTGGTAGTGGTGGTTGTAGTAGTAGCTTCAGTAGTCGTAGTGATTTCTTCCGTTGTTGTTGTTGTTTCCTCCTTTTCTTCCTCGTGCATCTCTCCAATAGCTTGAAGTTCTTTAAAGTCAGTCGGTCCGTCTGGATATTCATAGCATTCTTCACTAGTGCAAATGAATTTGCACTTTGTATCCTTGCATCCATAGCCTGCAAGTCCTGCCTTGGAGCAAGTGATACTGTCACAGTTGGGAAAAGCGAAGATGATATCAGCTAGTTCAATAGGCATCACATGCTCCTCCTTGAGCCCCTCTTCTTCATGGTGTTCCGTTGCGTTTTCTTCGATTTCTTCCTCGTGTCCATGATTATTTTCAAGCTCCTCTGCATGTTCATAGCTTTCATCTTGGTATGGTTCATACTCCGATTGGTATTCGTAGCCTCCTTCATAGTGATAGTCTTCATTGTCTTCATTCTCTAGCATGCTTTCTTCCTCTTCATCTCCATGAACTACTTCTTCATAGTCAAGTTCTCTCTCCCCATCGGCATCATCATCCAAGAAGGTGGTATCATCATAAGTATCATCAACTTCTTGCTCTGGCTCCTGTTCAACAGAGGTTTGTTCAATTTGTTCTTCTTGTTCATCTGCTAAAGTCTCCTGGTATGGTTCAATCGCTTCTTCCTTTGGAAGAGATCTGCTAATTCGGCCTTGGCCGAAACGTCTGTCAACAATCTCTTCGGATCTTTTAGCCTCTACAGGGACTTGGTAGGTCTGTTCTTCCTCTTCTCCTAGATTTCTGATAGAACGCGGAAGACTGCGGGAGTAGGCTGAGGAGGGTTCACGAATGTAGCGTTCTGAGTAGCGTCTTGCAGGACGGTACTCTTCACGTCCATAGCGATAGGGTCGCACAGCGGTGGCAATAACGACAAAAAGACAGAGGAGATACAACTTCATGTTTCTTGAATGATACATTAAAGGAATTAATCCGACTTTTATAAGCCAGCATGATTATATCGATTTATTAGATTTAACTTTTTGTGTTTGAACCGTGCATATTTGCGCAGTTGAATGTCCGATGAAAGGCCATAACATATTTTTACATTGAAAATTGAGTGCAAACGAACGTTCCATTAATAAAATCGATTTTGCTGTTTTCATTGACAGTTAATGCTATTGAATAACACGTTCTCTAAAAGAGGACAAGTATATTCTGAGTACAATGTAAATATTTTGTTAGGTTATAAAATGATAAGTGAATTACAATTATTTTGGAGGAAATAATTAGGCTTTATATTTTGATACTACAAATTAGAATAAAAGTTAATTATAGCAATGCCCGGATATTATCAGAAACCCATAAACTAAAATACATTTTTTATTCATTCAAATTCATTTTCTTAAATTGAATGATTATTCAAGTTTGAGTTTGAGCTCTTTAAAGTAGAAAAATATGTCAGGAAGTTGTATTTGTTTCTTCAATTAATAATAAACTTGCAAAACAAATTGTACAAAACCGTTTTCATGTTGACTTCAAAGGTGAAAGCCGCAATTCTTCTGATCAAAGATATGCTTAATTTTAAATCTATACGGGATTTATTGATCTGAATTTTGTCAATATTAAGCATATTTATTCCTAAATTAGTTTCAAATATACCTCACGTTGCGGTAGATGCTACTCTGCCTTTAAATTTCTACTGATTTGAAGTGCATAAGGTGCGTTTCTTTCAAATTTGTTTGAATAGATGAATTTTGAATTTTGCAGAAGATTTCATCTGTTAGCAAAATTCTAGCATTCCCCAGAAATCATTTAATTTACATGAATTAGTAGTAGCGCCCCCCCCCCGTATCTTTGTAGTTAAAGAGCTGTCAGTAGTTATGCTATGGTTTTTCGTAGTTAACTAAAACCCAGCTCAAGTTAACTCAAAAATTATTGCATGTATTTCTTAATGGAGGCAGGATAACGTTTCGAGTCTTATTTCCGTTAAAATTATTCTTTGCAATATTTCGCAGTATTTAAGTATGTTATTGAGTCGTTTTGAAAAATATCACTTATACTTTCGCATCGAAGGAGAATCTATTGTAGTGCACCATCTAACGTGAGTAACTAAAGAATCGAAATAGTGGGCTTGGTTTAATAAATACACAGCTGAATAGAATGGCCGTTCCTGAATACTGACTTCGTTTAGATAATCAAAATGAGGTCAAAATTTTCTTTTTTAATGGTTTTAAATTAGACCAAATTAATTTGATCCAAAACTTATAAATAATCAAAAAATTTAATGTCAATTAATCGAAAAGCACTAAACAGTAGGCGTTTGTTTTCGGCTTTTTAAATTTTAAAATAATCTATGCACAAAAGTGCTACTTAAATATTTCAGTAACAATATTAAAGTAGTTTTTTGTAAACCATCCATCTCATTCGTAGAGGATTTATAAAATAACGCACTAATATATAAACGAAAATGGGTGTGCGATAGACTTACCTCCACGTGGTGCACCCTGGGCAACGTATATTCATACGGCAAAAAAATCTATTAACTGGCAGTTGACTTCTGATTTCAAACTACCCTCACCCCATTGTATGTTATATTCGACTACTTCTACAGTACTCACCTCACCTTTTTTCTACCATCGTCTTTGAAGCACTCTTCTGTTACCCCCCTCTCGACTTTTTTTCCACTTTGATGTTCCTTCCCCTCTGTGAAGCCTGAAGTCAACTAAAGGGCTCATGATAACTATCAGAACACTGCCATTTTATTTTACGATAACGTTATATTTAGTAAATATTTATTTATATGAAATGGCAGGCGTCTTGATGTTTATCATTAGCCCTTTAGATGACTTCATGCTTCACAGAGGGGGAGGAACATCAAATTGAATAAAGTCGAGAGGGGGGAACAGAAGAGTGTTTCAAAGATGTAAGAGACAGACACAAAGGTAGAAAAAAGGTGAGGTGAGTACTGGGAAAATAGTCGAATATGGCATAGAGTGAGGTGATGGTAGTTTGAAGTGAGAAGTCAACTGCCGATCAATAGACTTTTTTGCCGTATGAGTATACTTTGCCCAGGGTGCACCACGTGGAGGTAAGTCTATCGCAC